GTTTTATGTGCTTGGAATACAGTTTACCACCTTTTATTTCTACCATTGCATTAAATGATTCAGTAGTTATTTTACAGCTTAGAATAAATGCTCTGTTTATAAATATTACAATAAGCCTATGCAGTAATTCGATTGTCATTCAATCAAGAAGCTGAAAACTCAGTCTTCAAGCTCAGAGGTTTAGAGGTGAAAGCTAACAATATCCATACCACTCTGGGCAAGATTGAGACCCTTATTTTCAAATACACAGAGGAGCAGGAGAGGTAGAATTCCCACAGGGCTGCCTGCCTTCTGCATCAAGCCAGAGCTGCAGTCTTTGTCATCCTGTTCTTGAAGAACTAAGATGTCTGCTGATTTGAGTCTTATGCAGATGAACTTTTAAAAGTGCCAGAGAGACTTCTGCCCTGCAAAAATAGCTGAACTATCACTTAGTATATAATATACACCACTACCTCCAAAACTGTTCAAATTGAGAATCTTCCTGTGTCTGGGAGTGCAGGAGAGATACGCGTTACTGAGGTGTTTTTCACTAAACTCTGAGCAAAAATTTGGCATAAATTTGTTCCAGAGGTCAAAAATCCACTTCTTAGATGCTCAATCCTAGTAAGCTTGTTTCTATTCATGTAGAACCATGACACTTATCCATCTGAGCTGTGAGGAAGACAGTTCTAGACTTATCTCCCCTGTACAGATGCCAGTGAGATGCTAGAGGAAACTACCCCTCTGCAGTTAAAGAACAGAGTTTGGCACATATTGGTAGGGTACAGGGCAAGTTCCATTTTCTTTGATCATAAGTTTATACATCATCTTAATCAAAGTAACACACTTTGCAAAAAGAGGGTAAGGAAAACCACTTGTCTGTGTCGGTGTGTTAATACTTCTCCCTAAAGACATTGGCTTTTCAGAATGTTTGAGTTTTTCTGTTCTGCCTCTGACAGAGAGTGCTTTTAAAATAAAAAGAAAATTACAATCCTATACATGTAAAGCATCTCTGTGTACTCAAATGACTTTAAAAGTGATAAAATATATTCAAGGTAATATTCTGTAGTAAAGCAGCCAACTCTGAGCATCCCACATCAGTAAAGGGAAATAAAGTTGCAAGAGATTCTTATTGATTTAATGCCATTCCTACAAAGACGGTATTTAACATGATGTAAGTGTACATTTATAAGAATCTGGTACATAAACATGAGACAAATCTACTGTCAGAAGTCACAGAAAGATGTGGGTAAAGTGGAAATGAAATAATGTGTTCATTTGTACAAGTAGAAAACAACTTCCAATTGAAACTAGGAGGAACATCACAGTTCAAGAAAGTAGATTATGCCTTCTGAGAGGGATCTGTCCAGGGGTGAGATGGTTCAAGACAGGGACTTTTTTTCTTCTAACTTGTTTAACTGTCCTATTACTGAAGGTGAATTAGCACAAACCTGGTCAATCTCAGATGAAATGCAAATTTCTTGTAACTATGTGGTCCAAAACAAAAGGATTAAAATCTGTGAGTATTCCAGCCCTTCAAGAAGTGATAAAACATCATGTAAATACACTTGAGCACAATCTATTACTTTTAATCCACATACAATACGTTATTTGACTCTAATGTACACATAAACCCCCTCTTTACATTCCTTCAGCTTTCTTAGAGTGATGCCATGTTAATCTGCTGAAGGTCAAGCTGAGAAAATTGAGGAAACAAAGCCAGTGCTCTTGGGAATCATGTCACGTCACGTTGGGCTCACAGACAAATGGGCATTAGCTGTAGATACAGGTACTTGCCAGTTCATCAAACTCCTTCATATGTCTGGTATCTTATCTTGGATTATGAATTATTGCATTCAATTTAATATTTGATAGCTTATTAGTGTGCAATTGTTTTCATATATTTGTACATTAAATACAGAAGGCGTGGGTGTAAACTGAAGTACAATTCTCTCCCTGTGCTACCTTCCTGTCATTGGCCACAATAGAGATAATTGTCCTTTATTATTGTGGGTAGTAATTTTATCAGGAAGTAAAATTTGAATTTGTGTCTTTTAAAGAATTGTTTGTGTTTTATCCCTCAGTGTCTCATTGTAACTTTTCTTTATAGCTTGGGAGTTTCATGACTCAGAGAAGCACTAGAACACAGATATGTTGACAGATTTGCTTTCTGTCATTTAAATTGAATCCATTTTCTAAACCTCTAGATAATACATTGCTAAGACATATCTTTCCATTTCTAAATACCTCCTGCTTTTTCTTCAGTTGTGAAATAGTTACTTGTTCCACCACACTCGAAAAAAAAAATGTAAACTAATATAAATATATAAATTATACAAAACCACAAAAAAAACCCCACCAAACCCAGTCCAAAATCAAAACACAAAAACAAGAACTATATGCAAAACTAACAAAAAAAAAAAGGAAAAAAAGGAAAAAAAATTTTTTAAATTTTGTTAGGGCATTAAGAACAATACAAATTGCTTTTCCTGAGAACACAATCAGACAAAAAGGATTGGGTTATTCTAAGTGTATGGACAAATAAATAATTCTTTCTGTACCTTATGCTACAAAGAATTTAATTTAATCAACTAAATATTAGTTTTCTATATGAATTTCTATTTTGGATGAGGAATCAGCCTTATAGTTGATCCTCCTGAAGCTGTATAACTTCTTTTTTTGTCTACATATTAGAATACCTTAGCTGAAATGTTGGACTGTGTTTCTTGAAAACAATGAGATAACTCATAGCCAAAATAATGAAGAGGGGACAGATTTACACATCTTTTCTTCCCTGTCTGCTTCTGCTCTTCAGGGGAGCATTTGATACAGCACCATTCAGACCACACAGAAAGCACCATAAATCCCTCACATTTCCTGAAGTGGCTGCAAGGAGACCTGTGTCATTTTGTTTATCCAAAATACTTCTGTTTACTGGTTTCATCTGGGCATTTAAAACTGTTCTATACTGTTGCAGGTCTTTTTGATTGATAAAAACTTGAAATAGGGGTAGAAGCATTACAACAGTGATGAAAAATATAAAATTGTGGGAAAAAAGTGATTAAGAGATAATCAGAATTATTTTTTGCACCAGCAAATGAGGAATGGACCTTGTTTTAGGAAGAAAGGAATGAAGGATTTTATTTTTTATTACTCTTGCTCTTCATTAAGCTTTGCATTTCTTTTTTTTTTTTTTTTTTACTATTTCCAGACATGAAATGGATGATTGCAAAGGTGTTGTGATAGTCTTTGGACTGATTCTGATTTCTTGACCAGGAGCACAAGCTCTCTCATGGGAGCATTAAAGCAAATAGAGAGATTTAAAAACAAAGTGAAAAATATATGAACAGATGCAAGAGTTAAAGATTTGGGCTTGTCTAAAAGAAGGGATAGTCATAACAACTCACATACATACAAAGCAGTTTGCCTTAGTGGAGAAAATAATATATGCTGTTCTCTGTACTGGGAATGGGATAAAAATAATAGTGAATACTTCAATATACAAGATGCAGGCCAGCCTGGGAAAATATTTTATCTGAAAGGCTAATAGATATTTAACTCCATCAAAAAGGTGGTTATGAGACCACTGCTTTAAGAATAGCTTAGGCAAACGTGTCAGAAATACTGCCAATGTCAGACACTCACAGGGTTGGCCTGACCTTAGCCTAGAGATGAACCCTGCAAGTCTTTCCTAGACTCATTGCCTAAGATTTAAAATTGATCTTATTGGTAAAATGTAATACAAGGACTTAGGATCTTGCCTGTGACCTAATTTCCTTCATAAGTAACACTACAATAAGGATCAGAGGTTTACTGGATTACCAAAATATTAGGTAAATTAATTTTAATGCTCTAATTTAATGAGGACGTGATCCATAATGCTATAGAAAAGATTGGAATTCACTTTCCTTAAAAAAAGAGAGGTGGAGGAAAAGAATGTTCATCCTTGACTGACTGAGAAGGCTAATTAAAAAAATCAGTATTTTTCATTCAGTTCTCTGAAAGATGGTTTGTTGTGATTATTTTTCGGTTCTGTGTTCATTTGATACAGGAAAATCTTCAAGGTTTTTACAGCAGTTATATTTGAATGTGTTGCAAGATCAGTTCTTGTCCAGCTGTCCAGTCCCAGCTCTAGTTCAGAGCCAAAACTGCTGCATAAACCTCAGCCTTCAAAATCATATTTAGCTGGCGTGGATTGGACTTCAGAGAAGCTATAAATGAACACGTCAGTGCACACAGACAGTATTAGCAGACAGAAATAGCTGATCTTAGATGATGCAGAAGCTATTTAAGGAAAATTAAGTTACATTAGTAGCTCGTCTGAGAGCAGCAGATAGTTTATGTTTGCCAGACATTTTGACTTGAGAGAAGCAAGGCTGGATGACTTTTAAGAACAGAAAGTAAGGCAGGATAAGGTTCAGTAAAGGTACAGAATAGAAGAAAATGTCCCATCTAGTAGCAGAAACTTTAATTGTAATGTTATTAATCTTTGATTACTGGTCTTTATGATGAAAATGTAATATATTGTGAGAAGAGAATGATTTCAAAAGGAATGACACACACTATGCTGGGCACTGAACAACTTGTGCAAATACAAGTTTGAAACTGAATCTTGAAGACTTTACTCTCTAAGGAGACTACAAAGACTTGAACAGATACCTGACAGAATATATTGTCTGTTGGCCACTGTCCACATGCCTCCTTGTTGACTGTGTGACAAGCACGGTTACTCCTACGTGAACTTTGCCAATGGACAACTGTTTTCAAGACTGACATATAAAAAGGCAAACAAAAGATAAATGACAAGAGTGTAACATTTCAAATGAAAAAAATCTAAGGTAAATATGAAGTTTTATTATATGGCTTACTACTGGTGAAGCACATTAAAGTCTGGCTACTCCTGAGCGAATTCTGACTCCTTTTCAGTGGTGACAGAAGCTGGGAGCCTGTTAAAGCAACCTGGGATGCTCAGTATATTTGCTTCCATTTTTATTCTTTGCAGCAGCTTTTCATAGAACACACTGCAGACAGACATCTGAGGACTTTTATTTCTCAGAGAATACACCAGAGCTGGATGGCTGAGAAGAGAAAGTGCTAAAGGTTGACTTCAATGGGAATGTTCCCTGCCGAAGGTGAAGATTTGACCCAGAAAGGTTCGAGTGTATTTCTGAACAAACTGAATTATCGTTTGTGCTTCACAAACATGGGGCACCTAAAAAAAAAGTGCAAAAGTTTAGCTCCCAGCCCACATGTTTGAATGAAACCATTTCATGTTATTCCTTAAAAAAAGCCCTTCTATTTTATTTCCAAACTGCTGTGAAATGTTATACTCAAAATAAAAACTGTCTTCAGCCCTGAGTTGTATAAATGCAGTGGATTAGCCCTGCAAGTTGCTTGCTGTTTAGATGTTTATTAATTCTAAAATCACCTCTTTCCATGAAACTCTTGATTCCTTTTTTACTAGCATTTATTTGCACAGTAAGAACATGTTACTTTTTAAGAAATTGCTTTAAAATTTGGACCTTATTCTTTTAATACAGCACATTTGTATTGAACGAAAATACCACAATCTAAATGATACAAACTGTATTTGGTCATGATTAATGAAGACTTGTTCCTCCTTCCAAAGAAAAACTGTCTGCATCCTGGCTCTATGATATTCTTATCTATGAAAATATTATTTTCATTATTCTGAAATATTTCTAATCTGCCTAAATTATCAGTTTGTTTAGGATTATTTGATCATTATTGTTTATTTAGACCAGCACTTAAAATTAGTTTCTAAAACCTCTGACATATTTGCAATATTTGGGCATATTTCAAAATACCTTCTCTATTTTGTTCTGATGTAATCTATTTACTGAATCTAAATTAATTGCTGTGATTTCTCTTCTCATATATATTTTTTTCTGAAAATTTTATATAGCAAATGAGCAAACAATGATTTTTGTCTATCTAATGCTGATATCTACAGTATATTATATGTCGATCTTAGAATGTTATGGTTTAGTTTGTTTTAATGTATTGACTAAATTTCATATTGAATATTGAAAAGTTAAATAATTAATAGTTATTTATCAAAATAGAGAAATAGCCAATGTACATGTAATTTTGTCATGTTGTAGTATTTAAATACTTTTCACTACAGATCAACATATTCCTGTTAATAATCAAGCACATCTTGTATATGATTAAAGGTGACCAGTTCCAAGAAGAAGAAACATGGAGAGATGCACTGTAAGAAATGAGCTAATAACATTAAAATGTGGGAAATCATTTTCGAAAAGTCTGAATCCAGACTTGTGCTTTATAAATCACGACCCAGAAGTAACTGGGGATTCAGCCAGATCTCATTAATTGCAGAGGAAGAGAAACTATAAAGTCTGAAATTTATGTAAAACCAGTTCACTGGTCTATTCTTTTATGGGAACTATTTGGAATCAATCTGTATCTGCAACTCTTCTATGGGAAATGAGTCGAAGAGCTACAGCAGGTGCTTTAAAGTAATAAGGGATTTCCTATGAAACCCAGTGGACTGATGACTCACCAGTTTAATTATGGCCTACTCTTCTGTTGTAAAAGCAGGACCATCATTTGTAAAAGGTTCTTGTTCAGTAAATGAGTTTGAACAGAAAATCTTTTACAGGGAAAAGAAGATACCCATATTTTATTTTAAGAGGTATAGGATTTATAGGGAACATCTTCAGACTACTACAATGATTAGTGTTGTCTGAGTATCCCCAGAGTAACTGGATGGAGAAGCAGTAACTCTTTTTGTGCAGTCTGGCTTTTCTTTATTTTGAATTTGTGACTTATTTTTCAGTTCAGCCATTTGATTTATTCTTAAATTATATATATATATATCCCAGGCAGACATTACCATAGTTCATACTGCTTCAGAATGGTTGGAGTGTTTTTGTGTGGTTTTTTTTTCCATTAAAAAGAAGTGGCTTAAATTACAGTTACTATTTCTTAATTTCACAATACCATTCCTTTCTAGAAAATTGCATATAACTTGGAAATAGGACAGGCTTTATAAATGGTGAACCACCTCTTGTAGCTGCCAATGGGACTTTTACTATTTACTTGGAAAACCACAATCTTTCACCCCATAAAATGGGAGATAAGATCTACCATACCCACTGCATCTCTGCTATAAGCAATAGACACCTCAGATCAGATGATACAACTTGCCATCCTGACAAGCAATAAAAATCTAGGGAACCATAATAGCTGAATCAGAAACACCCCACTCTTTACAATATTTATTGCAAAGTAGCTGTTTCTTTTGAAAACACCATTGATGTAAGTGAGGGAGGCTCTGGTATTTAGGGTGTGGTAGAAAAAAAATTAGGCAGAATGGATTTTTTCATGGACAGATAGGTCATTTAGCACATCCTTGTGTTCATTTTTTAGGTTGGGTGGTTGGTGTCATTTGACTGCTCTACTCAGAAATCATTAACGTGATTTTGCCTGTGTCTGTCATTGTCTAGCACAATGCATCTTCCTGATAAAAGGTAAACTTTTGGTATCTGGAGGGTAAAGGAAATAAAAAAGAGTCATAGCCCATATAAATCAAGAGAAAAAGGGGAAAAGGAAGCCACTTAGAAGAGTAGGTGTCATTGATTGACTGTAATTTTAAAGGGTCTTTCTTATGATGGACAAATTCTTGGAGTGTTCATTAACTAATGGAATTATGGTAGCAGATGACTGCTGTCTCCACAGAACATCAGGTTAAAAAGTGCAGAGGAATAATGGGCTTTTCTCTATCATGGATCAGTGTCCTCACTGTCTGGAGCTCACTCAAAGACCCTGGAAGGGATCAAGGGGTTTTCACTATTGAAATTCATGTTTGTGCTTTCCTTTTCTTCAGTAACAGTATGCACACATGAACTAGGGGACTAGGTGGGGAAAAAAAAAAGGAAATATCACTGTCAGAGAAGAAAATTCCCCTTCTGAAATTCCTGCTCAAAGCATCAAATGAAGTTGAACTCAGAGGGTTAAGCTATAGAAGAACAGCACCTGGCCTTTAATACATTCAATTATCCAGAAAACAAAATCAATTTTGTTTTTGTTAATAGCACTGAAATATGCATTACACTATTTTAATTAAAGCAGTCTATTACGCTTGCCATTCAGCTCATTCCTGCATATTCCCTTAGGGCAGTAGTCATGTACTGTGATAAAACATAATGAAAATAATTTATAAAGGAAACAATACAATAAATCAATCTGATGCTTAATGAACCTGCATTACAAGAATGGATACAATATTCTTTTTTAGAGTATGTAGTGCATTTTCCTCAAATGACTGGAAGAATGCCCTACAGCACTTAAAAAATAGCACCTTGCTCCATCTCAGCATGCTTTTAAAGCACTGTCACTTGCAATTTAAGCAAATTTTGGCAAAACAAATAGAAATCTCTTTCATTTACACTAGGTTTCTGATTTTTCTGTTATTTTAACTTTAGTCAGATTCATCTGCCTCATAGGGACACCTGTAGAGACCACAGGGATTCGACTCATATGCATACTTCAGCAGTCAGCTATTTATTGTCTGTATTCCAGAGACCTAAATTTTCTAGCTAAGATCAAAGCTACTCAGGTAAAATTCTCAGCTTTCCATTACAAAGATGGACAAAAATAACAGGAAAACTATTGCCTTTAATTATTTTTATATATATATGCAAATGACCCTTAAGAACTTCTTTCATGTTCAGCCAGTGATTGGATTTGTTGATTACCTTTATGTGACAACTATCTGGGAATATCTGTCAGTACATGATGTTTCATTCAGTGACCAAATGTGTGTGCAACTGTCTAATTTAGTACAGTATTTGTCATTTCTGTGAAATGTGGCTCGTCTGCTTGTCTGCTACAAGATCTGCTACACTTGGAACAATCCTTCCTTTAGAATTTGATCACTCACATATTTATAGGAGAATTCAATTGATTTAGCAAAGTAGATTGTTCAGAAAAACTAGGACAGCAATAGTGAAACAGATCATACAATACAGTCCAAAAACTTTGAGAGAGGAGTCACTCAGGGTGACTTGATCATGAATCCTGTGGCCACAGTCTACAGGTAGTCTGCTAATCCTGTATTAAATAATGTTTTCCCAAGATGGTGGATAAGGATTGAGTAGGAAGAAAAAAGAACTCTACCTATGACAGCTGAATAAACTGAAATTGGCTGTGAGGCTGTAACATGTTGTGATACTTGAAGCTCACCCATAAATTGGGAACAAAGGAGAAAAAGTGTGTGGAGGTCATGAGAGATAGAGTAAAAATTCAACAAATTTTCTCAGGGTATGGTGTTTCCCCTTTTTCATCGCAGGGATGGAGTGGCTGGAACATCCTTTAAGTTAACTAAAATGGCATAATGTATTTATTTAGATCTTCCATTTTTCCATTTAAAAAAAAACCACACAGAAAACCAGAGGGGGGAGTACCACAATGCTTTTCAAAAAAGATAGTCAAATGCTTCTTGCAGAGGCTTGAATTGGGCCAAGAGGGGAGCAAATATCCTCCAAATGATATTTTCTGAAATGCTATAACTAAACCTCTAACATACCTGAAGGCCTTGTGTAATAATTCAGGAATACAATTTATTACTCAGGTTATTCATAGTTTTTATGGAGGAAAAAAAGAACAGACAGAAAAGAATGGCTCCAGTAAGTATTATCAAATACTTAAATGCTGTTAGAGAGCAGTTCCAGAACTGTTAGCTTTTCATGTTTTCTGTCTTCTCTCACACCAAATCACAAACCAACTCAGGAGCATAACGGGAATATCTAGGACAAGCTGCCGAAGCAGAGTTGCAAGAGCCACTCCGAAGATTTCACAGACACCCAGAGGAGCAGGGCTTGGCCGGCAGCCAGAAGAGCCCGGCAGGAATCCTTTCCTACGGCATCATCTGGTCAGAGCTGCATCAGCTCACACAAAAGCTGTATGAAGCTGTAAATCCCCACTCACACTGGGGTACAAATTTAGCAGGAGACAACAATCCCTGCCCCTCGGTGGGGCAGCAGCCAACATCAGCTCCTCCATAACAGCTTGGCCTTTTGAGAAACAGCATCAAACAGCATCTCCCGGTGTTGCAAAATTTGCCATTGCCAGCCCTGTACCTATTACTCTGGGCAGCTGTTACAAGCTCATCCTCTAATTTAGGAGAGAAGGTTTAATACCTTTGGAAGCCTGCTGATACATGGTATTAGATGTGTCTGAAGAAGGCCCAGCTCCCCAGGTTACCTGCCTTAGGCAGGTTAGAAAGACAGGCTGACCGCTCCATGGTTCTATAAACCATTTCTTATCTCAAATGTTTATTTCTTTTGCTAAGAGAACCAAAAACCCTTTTGCTGAATTAGAGGAGCAGACGTGAAATGATCAAGTAAAGCTCCCACAGTCTGGTAGGTGACAGAAATCCATTGCATTTTTTCCTTCCTTATATTCATTGTTTCTACCATATGTGACTTTTTCCTAGGTGAATAATTACTCTGCTTGACAGAAAGTTCTCTGGGAAAGTGTGTTCATATATGAAAAATGGTCCTAAATGGAGTGATTTCAACTCTCTAACTCTTGCCATGAATTCTCCACTCCTCCAGCCCCCTGTTTTCTGATTGCTAAAATGTTTTCAAAATGGAAATTGGTGACTTTTCCCCACTTTAGATAGCACCATAACAGTACAAAAGAAATCCAGGCATTTCACTCAGTCTTGAGTTTAAATTACAGACAAATCTTATCATTCCAAACAAAGCGGAAGGTCTTTTAGGTCAGTTGTTTTCCCTTTTAATGATTAATATACTTATTTTAGATAGAATAGAAATGGATAAGAATATAAAACCTGCAGGTTCACAGAGAAGGGAACTTTTATTGCCCTCAAAATTTTGTTTCTCCAAAGGTCCAATTGTAATTATTGTTTGGATGTTTTGCTTACCTTTTTCACTTTTCTTGATGCTATTAGTCAAAAAAAACACTGTAGTTGATAGACTATTCATTCAGGTAAAACAATTGTATTCATATGCCTTTTGGTATGCTCATTGTATTTAAGAATGTAGATGATTAAAGTAATTTTTTTTTCCTAAAAAAACCCTGGCCATTCATTGCAAATAGTCCATCTTATTCTAACATTGCAAAGATAGACAGAGGATACTCTGTTCAGAGGCCAGAGAAAAATGTATGGAATAAGCTATACTGTACATTTCATTTTAAGTTAATTGAAACATAAAGTGACAAAATTACAGAAAGTGTCAACCTCTGTCAAATCTATATTGGACATGGGTGAACTGAAATCCATGACACAGTCAAACTTGGACTATTTTCAACAAGAACGAGGAAAGAGGCAGATCTCTGATAAGTACACAGCAACCACTTTCAATCCAAATGTTGAAACTCACTGAGAAGTCTGTAGTCTGCAGACAGTCTTTCCTAAAGTCTTTTCTTGACCTTGTCAAAACAATGTTTCGTAGGGTGGGGTTTTTTTGCCCACAAGAAAAATTTTGAAAAGTGTGACAGTTATCCTACAAAGAATTTTCATTTTGAGAAGTATGGCAATTTCACAAACAACAGGAAAAACTGGCAATTAATGGAAAGTTTAGGCAATCTTTAAATGTAGACATCACCCTATGTGCATGCTGTAACACACATGTGCTCATTTCTGTATAGATCCAGTTCTGCTCTCTGTTATAAATCAAAGTCAGTACCTGAATATAGAATATAATGCAGAAGGGATTTTTGGCCCATTGCCTCTTTGGGGCATCTCATCCTATTAAATAACCTACTTCTGAGAAACTTAGCTAGACCTTCACTGTTCAGTAACTTATGATTGCCTTTTTAATTAAAAGCTTGAACCTTACTTTATACTCATTAATCATATTAGATTGGAGTGTTGATATAATGGCCATAGTTCCCCCCTCAGACACATTAACAGAAGTGTTACTGAAGTGCAGGATAAGATGGTATTTTTTTCTGGTGAGCTCTGCCTCTGCACGCCTCGTCTAATTCCATACATGGCACTCCCTCCTTTCCTTGGGATTCACTTTGCTCCATACGATGACGCTGCATGAGCTGGGTTAGGCTAACAGGAGGAAAGCAGCAGGACATGAGCCTCATTGCTGTGTGCTGACAATCTCTTTGCCTCCAGTCTGACGGCAGAGCACCTCCTTAGCCTGGGATGCGCTCGAGCTCACCCAGTACAGCAGCAGCACAAAGTCAGGGTGCAGCTCAAGCCTCACCTCACACCTGCAGGACCCAATCTCAGTTACTTCCGCTGCAACCTTTCTCCTCAAGTCGCTGAATGCCACCAGCTGCTTAGATGGAGGTGAACTGTTTGTCTGTACCAAACGTGCCTCCTTCAGGGAAGGTCCTTCTCCCACAGAAATCCACAGCAAAACTTCAGGTGATTTCAATGGTAGCAGGGCTGGGTCTAAGTCTGGCTTTCATAAGTACAAGCCTCGGCCTCTGCTGGTATAAATCAACCTAAGTCCCCACTGGAACTAGGCTAATTTACACCAGAGCAGGATCTAACTTTACATATTCTTTTCTTTTTGCTCTGTCTTACTGGCAAGAGCCCAACAGCAAAGCTTTTTGTGCATTTGTTTCACTTTGTGTAAGGTCAGCTAAGGTTTTATGTAAAACAGATGGGCAAACTTAAAAATGATTTTTAACATTACATTGAAAACCAGTAAAGAAGAAAAAGGGGGAAAATTACTCTTTCTATTCTTTCAAAGGTTGTTGCAATGACCTTCATTTTACCCAATGCCTCAATTTTAAAAAAAGAAAACAAACCCCTGTTTTTATTACAGTGAAGTTGTTTTCTCTGCTATTCATAGAGGTCTTGAAGAGGATCAGCAAGAAAAAGAAAATTCCTGGTGGTTCATTGGCAGTTTTAAAATG